TTACGTTTTTTAAACAAGACTTTAAGACAAGCCAGCATAAATTTGTCTTTCAAACTTTTCAATCTAGTTATTACAGTTTTTCTTACAGGTTTTTTTCAACTGCTTACACACATTTGTTCAAAACTTTGCCTCTTTTTTTCAAAACTTTAGACACAAATCCAAGAATTGTATATTCCTGTTTATCATTGGATCTAAAAGGGTGAACCAAACAAATACAGAGTCAGACTGCACTGGAAAGCAGAATTAAAGTTAGCTCATGCAAACCTGTTGCCTCAATCAAACTTTTACAGACAGATTTTAGGAGCATATGGAAAAACCTTACTGTACATGTGATCAGGGAGACTGTGAGTGCATTCTCATCAGAGCCATATCAAGATGAAGTTTGAATCATTTGATCTCTATATATCTCTGTTTGAAAGTTGTAACAAATCCAAGAATTGCAAATGCAAAATGCCTCACATCACTTGCAAAATGAAGCACTGCATTCAAAATATCACAAACACATCTCAAAAGCAAACATTTGCAAACACTCTTGCCAGAATATTAATTCCTGTTAGATTTTTGTGTGTTACATAGATAATTGTGAGCTGTGTTTTGCAAAAAGTGTTTTATGAAATTGAAAACTGAGTCAAAGGCCGAGAATTAGTGTATGGTTTTGCAGATTTGGTGTGTGGTTCTGGTGTTTGTGTCAAGTTTCAGATATTGTGAGACACATATGACTTTCCTGCCCAGTGAACACTGAGATCAATAACACTGTAACAAAAACTCTTACTAGGATTCAGGAATTATTTTTGCTGCTCAATGTCTTTTACAGTATACATAAATTAAAATACAGATAAATATGTATAATTCAGCAATTAACTTTTGGGATTTTTTTTTTTTTTAATTTTACTACTGTAAGGTAATCCGTCCAGTAGATAAAAAGCACTAGAAAAGTTAAAATACCAAAGAATTGTATGAATTTGGAATGCACCACAATACAGTACAGTAAAAAATACAATTAAAAAAGTAAATTTAGCATCCTCTGCACTTTTGGCCAAATTTCATTACAGTTTACAGTACTATAGCAGTTTCTTGGTCTCCTGATACAAGACTAGCTATATTTCTAGGCAGTCATTTCTCAGTTCTGCAAAAATGCAGTACACATAAAAAATGTTTACAAATCAAATTTGACGGTCACATGCTTGAAGGTGTACAACAGTTCTACATGTGCTGCAGTTTACTGTACATACAGAATAGTTAAATTTCCATTATCTAATGTACTGGTACTGTACTGTAATTATACTGTATGTGTAAGTATAAAACCCCTGTAGATCATGATTGGCTCAGCTCTCTCCTCTCTCCGCTGTTAGAATGCAGAGATTCTGATTGGTGTGTCATCAGTTTTGCTACCTAAGGTTTAAAGGGGTCATAGGATGCTACATGCACTTTTACAAGTTGTTTGAACTGAAATGTGTGTTGGCAGTGTGTGTACACAACCACCCTATAATGATAAAAATCCACCCATAAAGTAGTTGTGATTTTTCACGAACCGTTGTGACTTCCGTAAAAAGTTGACATCAGAACTACACAGTCACCGCCTTCAGTCACCACCCCGAGCACCTCCCACCGTCCCACTCTCCTTTTGCCAAACCCCCAACAACATTGCGTCCATGCCATTGCTGAGCAACAACAAC